TAGTGTTATAGATTTCTGAACTTCTTTGGAAATCAGGGACACACAACCCCTAGCTCCTCCAATGAGTATTGTGGGTGTTAGAATTCCTTTACTTTCGTTTTGGTGAGGTTTTAGGATGGAGTCAATGATAAAGCACACATTTAAGCCACTGTCTTTAACCAGAAGCCTCCCTTTATGGAACTTATTTCTGTGTATGGGTAGAATAAGGCTATATTTTTCAAATTAATTGCCAGTTGTTCCTAAATCATTTACTCACCAGCTCAGCCTTTCCCCATGGATTTAAAATATCCTTTCTGCAGCTGGCCGGTTAGCTCAGTTGGTTAGAGCACAGCCTTGTAATACCAAGGTCATGGGTTCAGATCCCCATACTGACCAGCTACCCCCCCCCCCTCAAAAAAGTAAAATACCTTTTCTGAGTGGTGTGGGGGAGGGGGGAGGGGGAGGGAGGTCAGGGATTAATTTGATGGGGGACACGGGATAATCGCAATTTGTGGTAATGGACATGCTGATAGTATTGATCTAGCCATCACATCTTGGGCACAAGTCACAGTCAGATTTGTACCCCATGACTATTCATAACCAATAAAATTTAAAAAACAAAATAAAATATCTTTACTACATACTAAGTTTATATGTATGTAAGATCCATTCTAAAATATCTATATCTTTGTTTTGGTCGATAGGTCTCTTTTTTTTTTTTTTTAATAGGGCTCTTCTTGATTATTCCATATTGTATATTTACTACAGCTTTCTTGTACATTTTGATATCTGGTAGAAAAAGTCTCTGATTATTCTTGTTCAAAATATTTTTTCATAATTGAATATTTTGATTATTTTTAATCTTTACTAATTTGGTAGGTAAGAAAATGGCATAGGTCATTTTAAGTTATATTTTTTGATAACTTGTGAGGATGGACGTTTTATATTTTTCCATTTGTCTGTAAAATAACTATTCTTGCCTTAGATGTTTGGTGTTTTTCTTAATAATTTGTAAGAATATTTTTATATGGTGAGGAATTAACCCTTCTATCTTTTAACTTTGTAACATTAAAGTATACCATTATAGTCTTAGATGTGAGTAGCAAAGCAAAGATTGTAAGTTAAGAGTTTGTTGTCCTTCCCATTATGAGCCATGCTTTAGTGGCAGTTATTACTGTAGTGTATATTAAAGTTTCCTATTTATTAAAAATAAAATGGCTATCAAGGGTATTTTAATGGAAGGAACACCATTATGAGCATTTGATAATATTGATTTGTTGGTCTTTTCCTAAAATTAAGTAGAGAGAATAAAACAATTCTTAAATACGGGTACAACCATACTGACTGGTTATTTTAGTACCTAAAAATTTGAGCTGCCAGTTGTGTCTGTGGTTAAGAACCTACAAAGAGTGTAGAGTGGTCTTTTTGTTATTGATTGTTCATTTTAGGATGCCTCAAGAGGTAAGGGGATCCTTCAAGGGGAAAGGAATCTACTGAAGACAGATGCCATGCTTTGAAAAGCTGTAGTGCCTGATTAGTAATATCCTGGACTTCATGGTTTTGTTTTTGTTTTTTTGTTTGCTTAACATGAAAGGTTAATTCAGCATGTATGGGGCCAAGTGTAGGCTCCCAGGAGGAATTGAGAGTTCCGTGTCTTCCAGCCATGGATCAGCAGACCTCAAAGAACATGGGGGAGAACTCCAGAGCAGCACCTACCATTGCTCCCCTTATGACAAATGCTATTACTGCTGCTTTGGAGTCCCCAGCCATCGGCCAGAGCATAGCTCCTCCAGTTCCTTTGACAGCCCAGCCAGTGACAAACTCCATGTATACAGTGGCCAGAAAAGATGACAGGTAAGCCAGAGGTAGTCCTAGAGATGAAAGTGATGTGAATGACGTCTGTTAGCTTTTTTTAATATGATCTGCATTATCAAAAGCAGTATGTAAAAGACGAATGACTCCCACTTTTAAAAATGATTTTTAGATAGGTATGTTGTTGAAAAGCAAATTACCAAAACATTGGCTCCAAATCTTTCAGACTTACTTATTCCGTGCTTCTTATAGAATATTTGTTTTACTTTACACTTGAATTAAAAAATTTTAATATCCCGAAACTCACCAATCTCTTTGTAACTGAAGAATATGCAGCTGTTAAACTGAAATTGACTTTGCTTACTGGCTTTGAGTGATTACCTGCAGGGATTATTAATAT